GGAATACATATCACCTACAATAATTATCTTGGGATATTTTGATATAAACATTGCAGATATTGGTTTTGTTACTCGTACTTTTAAAGATTTAGTAACTTCATTTGGACTACAATTTGCAGTAAAAACACTAACACCTCTCTCTTCCACTTTAATAGACAACATAATCACAAATTTAGATGAGAAGAAAAGCACAGCAGGGGTACTGAATAAGCACATTTCAGATCAATATGCTGTATACATTGGACATCAAGCAAAACACCAAAAACATAGCAATAACACAAACAAATCACATGATCAAAGACAGACACAAACATATAAAAACTAGATCGACTTTTAGAAGTACAAGAGTATACTTTCCTAAGAAATAGAGAAAATTGTAATGATAAGTGGAATTCATTCATGGATGTATTTCTAATGATTTTCAACTCTATGTGCCCAGTGAAATATAAGTGTATAAATTGCAAAAATTACAAAGTTCTATTATCCCAACAAACACAAACTGTTAAGAGGGAAATAATGACCTTTCCATAAATTTCATAGAGAAACAAAATTACAAATATATTACCTTAAATATAAAGAAATAAGAGAAAGATACCAAAAACGTCTGTTGAAAGAAAAAATGATGCAGTATTTAAAAGGTTAGAAAATTCTGATATCATGAACCAGTCGAAAATTGTTAACAGGCACAAATCTAGAGATGGAATAACATACATTCAACTAAAGAACAACGAGGGAGTCACAGTACTTACAGACTCACATAAAGTAAATGAAATCTTTAATTGATTCTTTTCATCAATAACACTACCAAATTACAACAGAATAAGAAGTGTAGAAAACACAACAACACATAGTGCACTTACAATATTTTCTAACAAAAAGCAGCAGGGTGGTATGGGGTATCAATTGTGGCAGTAAAAAGGGTGTTAATTTAGTAATATTTCCATTGAAACATTTAATTAACACTGTGCTTGAGAATGGAATATTTCCAGACATCTTTAAATTTGCACTAATTAATCCTCTCTTTAAAAATGGTGAGACAAAAACAAGGCATCACATTATAGGCCAATATCACTTATATCAATGTTTAGTAAGATAATACAAAAGGTCATTTTTAACAGGCTGATAAGATATTTTGAAGAAAACTCACTTCTGTCAGACTATCAGTGTTGTTTTAGAAAAGGATACTCAACCATCACTGTAATCACAGATTTGTATTAATACTATTCTAACCAAGTTTGATGATTGATTGAAGGTTAGTGGAATATTTATGGATATGACAAAAACGTTTGATAAAGTAAATCATACCATACTCTTAGACAAACTAAAAAAATATGGAATAAAAGAAATAGCTCATAATCTTCTGAAATCATTTCTCTCACCAACAATCTACAGAAACACACTACTTACAAAATAACACCTTAAACAGATGCAGATCAAATACAATTACAATGCATGGTGGAGTTTCACAAGGATCAGTACCAGGCCCATTCTTGTACGTTGTTTATGACAATAATTTTCAACCAACCAATGACCCAAAACTTACAATGTATGAAGATGATACATCACTTTTTTGTTGGCACAAATCACAAGATGAATTTAATAAAATAACTAAAAGCTGTCTATTAGAAACTGTTCAATCATACAATGAAATTGGTCTAAATGTTAATGTTAACCAAACAAATATAGTAATATTCACACACAATCCTTGAGACCAAGAATCCAATGCAACAATTATATAAAATGAACCTATACCACATGTATAAGTGATTAAATTCCTGGGAGTATATATGGACACTATCTTATTCTGGGAGGGTCACATTGACCGAGTGTGTAAAAGAAGCTCAGGAATTTGACTTTGAGCAACTATAATACCAGAAATAATAATAATATTCACATTGTGAGTACACGACACATAAAAACAGACAGAAATACTTTTCTTTCAGGGATAAAATTTTTCAACAAATTGCCAAAAGAAATAAAAAATCTAAGCAACTTAAAATTCAAAAAAGAACTAAAGAAATAAAGCATTATATTCTATAGACGAGTCATAAAAAAACAATATTCGTCATGTAGAATATTGTGGATTGCACAGAATTAAAAAAAATAATGAAATGTACTATGCTGACGTGTATGGAGAAGTGTAAATATGAATATGGATATGTGCAAGTGTATGGATAAATATAAATATCAAACTTTGTATTATATATAAAAAAATGTATGTATTTAATTGAATATAAAAAATACATACTTGTCACATACAATACAGTCAATATACAACGTAATTTATTTGTATGCTAATAGTATAGATTTAAACATTATTTTGTAATATAGTAGTCATCCTTTTCACAAGGAAATAATGTTAAAATTAGTTATGTTAAAATAGTTAAAATTTGTATTAGTCAATTTGTTAAACTCAATTCATGACAGTCTAAAATGGTACTTGTGCTATGAAAGAACTGAAATAAATTATTTGAATAAATTTCTTATATGGATTATTTATGTCCAATCAATGAAATGTCTAAAGGAAATATAAATTACTACAGTATATCGAATAAAGTTGCAAAAATACAAATCACAAATTCAGTAACTAAAACTTGGTTCATCCTGGTATAATTTTTCTCTCATGTTATTTATGACATGATACACACTTATTTTGCTACTTATTTACTTTAAATACTTCAGCCATCTCTTGCAAATCTCTCTTTACCAAACGGATAGTATCATAGTAGTACTAGTAGCACTCATAGTTCGTGCATTTTCTAATATTTTATGAGATCCACTTCATAAAGAAAGTTGATATTTACTGCTTCCATAGTCAATAATTACACTTAATAATCCTGAAAGAATTTAACTAAATAACCTTCAACAGAAACAATATTCTAAAACATTTTCAGCTTGTATACTCATTAATAAATATCTTTCTTAAAATCCACTATCGACAACACTTAGTTGTATTTAAAATTTAGAAAACATTTCAACTATTTCCACATTTTTGAGCATTTCAACAATTTGAGTTTCTGAGATTGACATTTTAAAAACTGTGTTTATAAACAACACCTACATTTTTCTCATCTTTTTAATTTTGAAGACTATTAATTATTAAATGAAAATGATGCCCATTTGAGATATATCATAGACTGTTTTCACATGAAAAAATATTGATAAATAAGTTATTCAAAAGAAAGAAAGGTACAACAGAATACAAAAGAAAGAAAGAAAGGTTCATGGTAGCATCTGTGTATTTTTGAATTTCAAATGTTTTATTGAAAATGGCAGTTGTATTATGCCTTCATAATTTAGAGAGTAGTACTTTCTTCATACAATGGAAACTTAGATCCATATTAAAGGGTTAGTTGGGTTTATTTGAAAAAATTGAATATTTAAAAAAAGCAGTCATTTCTAAAACCACATTGAAAATAGACTTCAGAAAAAGTTAATTTTAATTAAGAAATAAATTATAGAATCCCTTTCAAATTCACTAGGGCTTTAAGAGATTTTCCATTTTGAAAAAAATCCAGTGTGTAAATTATGTGCTAATGTTCTTCAGATACACCAGGGTCCATATATCAAAATGTGCATTTCTGTCAAAATCTTAAGTTTCAATGCATATCTTTCTCTATCCTATCTGTACAAAAAAATTAGAGCAGGTGGAGTGGTACTCAAATCAGTTTTCATCATACATTTTCAATTAAATATATTTCTGGAAGTACTACCTAGGCAAAAAATTTTAGTCTGTATAAATTTTACTTACTTGGGAGTCAACCTTATTGAAAAGGTTGCTGATGAAATTGGTTGTACATATGTTTCTGATGGAACTATTTGGGCATGACTTTGAAGCTCTTTTGGCACTTTTGCTGCGAGTTTAACAGCCATACTAGTTGAATTAACAACTGAAAATTGTGCTTGGTAAACATCACAATCAAATAAACAAGTGTTGAAACTTATCACAACGGGTTTCACAGACAATGGGAAAGGTAGAGTACTTGCAAAAACTGGCAATTTAACCTGAAAAATAAGCAATAGGTGAATTTATTTTTTCTGGAGTTCTTTTTTTATCAATTTTACTTTCTCTCATTTTATGGTGATGCAGTTTCTTAACATGACTTAGATGAACTAGATGAAAGTTGTTTGGTTTTCAAGAAATTCTAAGGTCTTTATATTGTATATGTGAGATAGAGGTATTGTTTTGTTGCTCCCTTTCAGTTATCACTGATAATGCACATGTTTTCTGCAAACATTTTTAAAGTTTTTAATAAATTCATATTCATTTTCTTGAATAGTGATGCAAACAAATGAAGAGCTCGTGGGGCTTCCTTCTCCCTCTAGAAGCCCATGAAACATACCGACAAAAACTATAATTTATATTTTATTAATTTTCTGTTTAAACAAAAGTTATTCACCATCTCTGTCAACATGTTATACATAAATAACTTATGTATACGTATATGCAGTGTTGAGTTTCTGAGGAAACGCTCAAGGACGCTCATTGTAACAATTCTAATGCACATAATAAAAGAAAAATAGTAATTTCAAAAAGTAGAAAAGAAGAAATCTATGACATTAGTAAAACAGGTAGTAAATAGTATTATATTTTATATAGGTGTGGGGTAGTTCATTTCCAAGAGATTTCTTTAATAACATTATTTCTAGATAAGGTATATATCTAAATTACTTGTTTACTTTAAGGTAATTCGTAAGAAAACATCAAAGCCGCCATAAACTTCAGCCACAGCTTTCCCCCTTTTCCCACATCACCAGCAAAAGTCTCGTTGCAAAAATGTTCTTGAATAATTGAAATAAGTGTAATAATTGAGATAACATAAGACCACTGTTATCCAAAAGGTAATGGGTGTCAAATGTCTGTATTTGTGTTGCAGCTGCTTATAGTTCTGTGAATAATGAAGTGGGATTGTGAATAAAAACTGTTAGAGAGACTACTCTTTTGTCACATTTCAAATGTTGCAATTAAAAAACAAAAAACAAAACAACAATTTGTTTACCTTGTTCACACTATTTCTATCAATGTCTTCAAAATGGACGAAGTATTCTTCAGTATAAAGGCCTGATGGAAGTGGTAGAAAAGTCACTTTTATGGAAACAACACTTTTAGATGGAATATATATGTAGTGTCTGGGTTCAAATCTAAAATGTTCAGTAATAACATCCATACATTCTTCAATAATATTTTTGACTGTATGTTTCATATCAGATTCAGATATTTTTAATTCTTTCTCAGCTGCTTTTCTTTTTGATCTTCTTTCAAAATCAAAACCTTTAAATAAATCAATAATTTTTTGTATAATTAGAAAAGTTTATACAATTATGTTTAAAATTGTTTCCATCAATATAATGCCCTTTTCAATCTGTAACAGTTGATCTGATTATTTTTGACTATCATGAAGGTGATGTTCATTAAGTCGATGACAATCATGAAGAATTTTACACATATATATTTTGAAATCAAGTGATATCAAATGAAATTATATTTTCCTAAATATTTGCATGCTCATCATTTCAAGGTGGACACATTGCATATCGATGGGATCAAATATTATAGATTGAAATAGTAAAATGACAATTAAAATTACAAGAAATAAAATGCCTTTTGTAAATTTTGTGCTTTTCAGCACTGGTCACAAACGTCGATGATACTTCAAAATGATGCATAAAATAGAAGTAACATAAATGTGATTCCATAGTCCATAAATGTTACCACTGCATTTCACTTGTGGCTTAACTTTTATCTCTTTTATAAGGAAATCAGCATTAAATATATCCTGTTCTTTCTGGATTACGCATGTATACATTTAAAATAATAATAGGATCAGTAGAAGAGTACTGTTGTTTGATATGGGAATAATATTATTATTGGGAAAATGAGAAAATAATTAAAAGACTTTGCAACAACAAACTCAAAATCATGAATACTTTCTTTAGAAAGAAAATGATTAATAAATGTACTTAAAGCGCTAGAGGATTTCAGTCACTTATAGACTATGTCATTGTAAACTAAAAACTATCACCAAGAGTGAGAGAGATCCATGTAGTTAAGGAGCTGATATTTACTTAGATCACTATTTAGTAGCGACAAAGATAGACTTACTTGCAACATGGTATAATAAGAATATCAGAAACAGAGCTTCAAATGAAAAAGAGTTCATGACATCTCTTTTCGAAGAAAAGAGAATACGAAATCTATATGAAAAGACTGTTTATTATTACTTGATACATATTTGTCATCCAAAGTATCCATGCTTGCAGAATATCCTTAAATGACTTTGCAGGTACAGCAAACAATACATCCATTTTAATGTAACTTCCCTTTGAATACACTCTTAGATTTAGATTTATTACTAATTCTGCAATTACATTTGAGAACATGGTGGCAGAATACACTAACTTAATATTACAGAACCAACAACTTAAAAAATCAACAAACTTTACAAATTAACATGAACATTCCATCATGCAAGCTTTCATAGCACTCCGCCTCACCACACTTCACTGTAATGCGGATCACTGAGTTTATAATGTGTTTCTTACACACTCCTTTCCTTCAACTTCACAACACCACTGCACTACAAGCCACTTCACATAATTAATAATAATAATAATAATAATAATAATAATAATAATAATAATAATAATTAATAATAATAATAATAATATCTTCCTTTACATAGTAAACACGTAATTTAATAATATTAAAGATATTTCTAATACACGTATCAACATCTAGGAAACTAATTTATTTTTAAATTTGCTCAGGTTTTGAGGAAAGGGATCAAAGCTTGTCACAGGCAAACCGTTCCGGTCTCTAATAGTTCGATTCGTGAATGAATATTTCCCCACGTCCGTTTTCTGAATTATTGTTTGAATTTTGTGCATGCGATCAGCTCTGCCGAAATATAGAGCTTTCCCTACGCGACTTTGAATTTCTTTTCACGCTCAAAAGCCTGTGTACACTTAATACATATCATAGAGATGCGACTTCATTTTCCTTCTTTCGAAAGTCTACCGTACTTCTTTATTCTTAGTACCCCTGAAAGTAAATTTTGATGCCCTACGCTGGGTCTTTTCTAGATTTCTTAGGTGCAAAATTGTGTATTGGTCCCATCCTATCGAGTCGCATCCTAGCATGTGGCGCACTAATAAACATATACGCTTGTTCTGGCTCTCACTGTACTAGTTTTCTGAATCCGCAGAACAAAATGTAAAGATTTCCAGGCTTTCCCTTCGATTTTCCTTCAATATAAGTATATATAAGTACAAAACGTATCAAACATGGAGGAAGTTATCTCAGGAAAGAATGTAGATATTCGTTATACCATAGTTTAAAAAAGGTTCAAGTTGACAGACAAGTAGAAGTCTTGTGACAACTACGGAGGAATTAGCCTTTTAAATACAGGCTATAAAATATATAGTAAAATTCTAAATGAAAGATTTAAAAAATCTCAGAAGCTCTATTATCAGAAGAACAAAGCGGTTTCAGAAAAGAACTCTTGAATTCACGATACATTCACTAATAAACAAATTATCTAAAAAAGAAGGACATTTAATTTAGAGACGTACTTAGCCACTATAGACTACGTCAAAACTGTTGAAAGAGTCCAAAGAAACAAATTATGGAACACGATGTATAAAAGAGGTTATTCCACACATTTGATACAGACAAACCCACAAGTATATGAAAACAATAATGCAGTCGTTTACATTGGAGGAAAATGTTCGCAGGGAATTTTTGTAAAGTAAGAGATGGTTGCAACTTATCCACGGCATTATTTAATATTTATCTTGATGATATGATTCGGGAATGGCAAGCTAATGTTTCACGGCATTATATTCTCAAATATCTCAACACCTTGCTGTTCGCAAATGACTAGATAATCATACAACAGGCAGAGGATAATTTGCAGAAATCAGTACAATCCCTCCACATAATCGGATATGAATATAACATGCAAATTCCCACTCCAAAACTAAAACGATGGTATTCCATGGAAAATATCCTGTCAGTACTAAGATCGTCGTCTATGGACACGTTCTGAAACAAGAAAAAATATTTAATTACCTAGGTTGTAATATTTCTTATGAGTGGGATAAAGATATAGAAAATAAATTACATTTCAAAGAATTTGTGGAGGAATTATAACACACAAAAAATAAAACAAGAAATGAAGCTCAAATAAAATTCTACAAAATAAGGGCAGTACCATCACTTCTCTATGGCTCTGAATCATGAGTTACTCGTAAGACAGATTTGTAAAAAGTACAGGCAGCTGAGATGGGCTTCCTGAGATCAGTTAAAAGTACTCGATAGAATAAGAAATACTGATATACGAAGTGAACTCAATATCTTCTCATTAACCACTCGTATAGAAGAAAATAAAACGAAATGGAAAGAGCACCTAGAAAGAATGAGCGATGGAAGATTCCCAAGAGAAACAAGGAAATATAGGCCCCGAGGAAGAAGAGATCCAGGTCGCCCAAGAAGAAGATGCACTAAGAAGCCAGAACAGATTCCTCCCTAATCCCGGATGGCAGATTTATTATTATTATTATTATTATTATTATTATTATTATTATTATTATTGTTATTATTATTATTTACTGATATTATAAAATGGGATGAAGCTTTGTGCTTGTCACGCCGTATCTTCCTACTTTCGAAAATGATAAAGACCTTCTATGAGCCATTGCTGAAGTAGTTCAAAGGAGCCTGGAAGTTACAAGAATCCCAAGGTCCAGTGCGTTTGATACAAAGCAATAATAAAAATATAAGTACCTTTAATTGCGAGGAACATATTAGATTGGTTGGTTGGTTATTAGTGATTCCGAGCGCGTCAAGTACGGAGGCCATTAGTTCCGTTAATGTAGTGCATGTTTTCCTCTCGGGAGGTGGCTTCGTCCGCTGGGTGATGAGATCTGCCGCCGAACTATCGTCAGCTAGGGGAGTTTCCCCAACCAGGTATCTCCCACCAGCGGGCACCGCCTCAGCCAGGACAAACTCTAAGCTCCCGACCGGCCTCCCGGCACGTGTGGTAGTTTAGTGCATATAAGTGCGTGTGTGTGTGTGTGTGTGTAAGGAGTGATGACAGGACAAGGAAGGGGAAGGAAAGGTCGCGCGCGGTCCATGCCTGTTTGTTAGGCATTGCTCCGGCATTCGCCAGGCGTCGATCGGAGAAATCGCGGAAAACTGCCGATTACAGCAGTCGGTTAATTCTCCTCCAGACAGCGACTGAATTCCTCCTAGCTGACAAGCTAGTGTCGAAAATCTTGCCCCTGCCGGGACTCGAACCTAGGTCCCCCTGGTCAGAGGCACTGCTGTGACAACCGTGAGCCACTTCTCCCGTTGAACATATTAGAAAATTACCTACTTTATAAAATATGATCATTTTCAAAATTTACATTACCTGCTATTATTTCATTTAGTAAACTTTTTTCCAGTTTAGAAATTGCTGCAATATAGTTTATATCACTAGTGTTGATCAGTTTTAGAATCTTCAGTTGAGGACTTCCCCATTCAGGCACCTAAATGAAAGATTTCACTTCAGATCATAACTTCCAATTCAGAAATCTCGTTTGGTAATATTTAGTTTTTACCCATTTTATACCCTGAAGTGAAACAAATTGATTTATTAGGTGTGCAGAAAAGCAATATTTCTGTTGTAAACTGTGTGCAAAAATATTTTTTCTTATGATATTGTTTCTGATCACAAAATTACTAGGTTTTATTCTATACATATGTAAAAAACAATGTAACTTCATGTAATCTAGGTAAACTAGAGGTAGTCAACATGACATACGTCATGCATTATCGGATATAGTATGTAATATTGAAATATACAATTGTTTTTAGAATGCTATTATAATTAGTTACATTGTTTTTAATTTTCTAATTTGTTTTTAGTTATAAATTATAAATTTTTAGAATGGATAACATGAAAAAGTCCAATTCAACCATTTCAAACAAAGAGCCGGTGGTGGATATTCACGTTTATTTGGATAGTCAGGAATAGTAGTCCTTTTTAACTTTGGAAAAATTAAGCAAACATGAATAAATTAATATTTTACATTAATTGCAGTACATTATACAGAAATAAAAGACTTTCACACACGCTTGGTTTGATTACATCGAAGTGAGAACATTTTTGATTACCATTATCTGCAATCAAAATTTCTTGAATAAAAGAAATGCAATTGTTAGTTCTATGTTAAATATATTACCTTCCTTAAATCAATTTCCTTTCGAACGAATTTTGTGTCATACTATCATCATGACCGGCGACAATAAGAAGCATCCGAATGTAATGTGTGTCAGCCGTGAAGCCTTTTTGCGAACTGATAATGCGTCAAACGAAGCGCTAGAAATTCGAATTTAATAAATCGATTTTTTCCAGTTTTTGAAAATACAGAAAGGGGACCGCAAACGGGACCAACATCCCTTTCTTTACCGTTCTTTACTCCATACGAAAAAAAAAAAGAATAAAATTGGAGCCGTTTTTGAGAAAATCGTTAAAAATTTTAAAATTGTTTATTTATAAGGCAAAATTATGCACAAATAGTAATATATTCGAAAAATTCAACATGAGCTTATTTGAAGACTGTTTCTTATGAATACATTTCATTAAGGACAAACAAATCTTTATAATTGTAATTGTAGGAAGATGCGAAACAAATTTAGAAAATTTGCAATTTTTAAAAAATTAGGTTTTTGAACGAAAATTAGATCTGACCTATTAAGCGTCCTTTACATTAACCGACAACAAAAATTAATCAAACATTTTTTAAAATTTTGAAAATGTCTCAGGAGCTTCATATAAAGTAACCCTAAAATTAAAACATCGTTTCAAATTCAAGAGACAACATCAGCCAGATCGATTGAGAAATATCAATTTTGGTGAGAATCCTACTTTCAGTTTAGTAGCTAGCGTATAGGACCGACTGTTTTACCGTCAATCGATTTTTCGGTATCAAAGACCCACCAAACATAGATTCTGACTACACAACGTGTTAGAGCAATGAAGGGACAAGATTTATCCACTTTTAAGAACTAGGAATATAAAGAAGAAAATTAAATAAATATATAATAAAATGTAATAAAATATGTAAAAGATAATAAAATTAACTTGAAAAATGAAAATTAACCCGAAGCAAATCATTTGTATTTTATCTATATTACCAATTTCCAATTCAAACAGAATTTGAATGAAAACCTTACAGCCTCCGGAATTTGAGAGTTATGTATAGTTTTGTTAGACGCCAGAGAACTCGAATAAATCAAATAATGACGAAATTTCGTTTTTGACTGAAAAATGCAAATATTTGATTGTGTTATCCTCCTACATCCATACAGCGCGTACCAACTGAATTCATATACTCAGAGCGTCACTGCCTAGGATGTAGCTGACATCATGCAACAGCAAGTCTCCAAGGACGATATTGTCCACCATGAAATATTTGCTATTCACGCTTTGCATTAGGGTACAGTTAATACACTCTACTGCCATAAGTACTGGATCTGATGAAGAAAAATCACCTGGGTTTTCCCTCGTTCAGTTCGAACTCCGAAAATGTAATGTGAGAAGTGCAGCTCTTACTAGCCAGAAACGATCCGCTAGGCGACAGACTAGTCAAGTTGTTTGCTTTATCGCTTCTTAAATAATCTTAAATTTTACCCAAGAGCAAATGAATGATCGTCCAGCATTGTTAAAAGGATTTTGTGAAACGTAAAGAGTTTTGTGGCATGACGGTCGTCAGTTGCATCTCGTGCCTAGATTGCAGGTTTGTACAATTTCCTGATAATCGAAAAAAATTATAATATGTTAGGAATATACATTTTCCATTTAATGTCATTCAATATTCAAGATATTGCAGAAATTTAGATTTATAAGAAAACGTTTTGAAATCAGTGCCAAACGAGCGCCCCTCTCTTGCGTTTCATTGTAAACCAGGCAGCCCCCTCTTAAGCCTTGCTCTGCTTAGAATTGTGCCCGAGTTTCCCTCATATGCGTCAGCATTGTCCAACTATCTACGTGCGTTGCGGTACGAAAACGCACGGGGGGGGGGGGGCAAGTAAGCAATGCTCGTCGTTATAAATACGACTATGCGGAGGATTTAGAGAGAAAGAGAGGGAGAGGGAGAGACAGAGAGTTATTAAGTGTTGCTATTTCTACTACTGCTGCTGCCGACAAATCATTTTCCTCAAAGATATAAGAATCAGCACGAGTTTTCACTATTTTTCCTGATATTAAACAATGAATATTATACAAAATTTAATAAACATTCCTTCCTATTAACGTCCGATTGAAGATAAACTAGAAATTAAGAGACTTGGAAAGCCTACCCCAAGTGTTCAACATTTTATTCAAAGGGTAAAATTAGTAAAAAGATAATTCAATCAAAAGTACAGAAATTATTTTTATAATAAATAAAAGCGACTATGCGGGTGTGATTCGCAGACAGCTCTGTTTTGCTTTCCTTGTATACTGTTTGCAGGTGGACGAAGGCTGGGCTAAAACATTTAAACCATAGAAAGATTGAACATGAGGTTTCTGGGAATCAGATAAAAGTAGTTTGAAGTTAGCGATATTAGGAACTCTTGGGTGGCCTTCCTTTGGAGACATTAACCGACGAGTTATACTTTTCAGTGGAAAATTTCTAAATTTTAATATCCAACACGTTTAATTTGAATTTTATTTTTCAATTACTGTTAGTATACTTTATTTTTAATAAATAGGGAAACCGATTAACAAACAAACTTATTATAAAATAAAATGAATTATCACATTTCATACTTACATCTTCAAATCTGATTTCGGGTGGACAAAGTTTTGGCACTAGTTCTCGAAGGTCTAATGGTCTGCAGGATAATGGAATGAAGAAACATTGTGGCTTTTCAGGAGCGTCAGAGTTAGTAATAAAAGTCAATCTGCCGCTTAATTCACGAGTTTGGGGTGATGGCTTGAAGGTTATAGTGAAATCAAACGACAAACCTGCACAGATCCTTCGTGGAAATATATTCGTGAGCTATAAGTAGTAATTCAACAATTGTAATATATTTATTACAAAAACAAGTTATCTCATCGAAATAATATAATAATGATCTTAAATGAACTTACTTACGGATAATTTGTTTACAATATATTTTACTTACTTCAAATGCTTCCATTTGCAGGTTGTCACTTATTTCTATTTCGTGCATGTAACAAGACAGCCATTGAGAGCTAGTGTTAGTTACAATAACCTTTTGACGATAAATATGGTTGCCTTCAAAATCCTGAGAAGAAACGTGCCACATCTCTTAATTCGAAAATTATTCTCAATTCTTTAAAATTGTTAAGTAATATTGTAAATGTTAATTGAAGTGTGCATCAAGTTGCGTACAATGAATTGAATGTTTTAGGGGAGAAAAAAGGTTCAGTTGACCTTGAATTCTATTTCAGTTGGTTTCCAAGAAAATCCTGTGTTCTTGTTTGAAGGGCAAAATATTTCTATTGATTCTTTATTAGCAGCTAAATATTCTTCTTGGTCATCACATGGCTTAAATTGATTGAGATCCGCAAGAGACATATTCTCAGCATTTACATATTCTCGTGATACATCGAGATCTTGAAGTATGGCTTTTAAACTTCGTTCTCTACTTTTCTGTAACAATTGAAAAACAATTATTACTTGCACTCTACTCTATGTAACTACTATAAAAGAGTATTTCCTTCTGTTATAGCACTACTGGACTGATCAAATCGTGCCTTCTATGAGGCTTATCGTTTCAGTTTGTAGCAAGAGTGGGGCTAAGAGCCAATATTTCTTCCCAGTCGTGCGTTTGTAAACAGTAGTTATTACACGGGAGAGAATATTTTATCAATCCTTTTCAAAACTCTAGTTGCTACCTCTTATCAATTTGCATTATCATTTCTACTTTGACGCCCTTATTTCGTACGAAGAGAAAGTATTGTAATCGACCGTCGGAAAACGGCCAATTTTTGACAGAAAAACTCTTATTGTCGGGCCTGGTAACGGAAAATGAATAAATCATGTTTCTACGGAGTAAATTACTTTCTCTAACACGTGGTGTAGTCAGAATACGTTTTGTGAGTTCTTGATGCAGAAAAATCGATCGACGGCAAAACGTCTGTCCGTCCATCTACAGTCAATGTTAACATCTAAAACAAATCCAAATACAATTACTCATTCACACATGTTTAATCTACATTTCATTCATGCGAATGCACTCTTTTTGAAAATTAAATATATTCTAACGGCCATTTACTAAAAAAATACTTAATTAATTACAAGTCTTGGCCTTGTTACAAAATCGTTTGGCAAAATTGAGTCAATTCCATTGTTGCTGGTCCCTGTGACGTCGCCATCTTCGACTGCTGCTAATACCTGCGCTCTCTCGTTGCGGTTACCATCCTTTTCTTTCAATTCCCCATTGAACCACTCGCGAATTAATACATTCCTAGGAGCATCACTTTACGACATCTACTACCTTCAAAACAAATCTACATGAAAATGAAAAATTCGAC